CTTTTGTCAACATTGTAGTAATTCTCACTATAATCTCCAAGGTTTGACTTTTTGCAAATTAAAGTTGAAGTGCTGTTTGGTCACTATGTTTATTTTATTAAAACGAAATATTTTAATATCAACGTTATCTTTGAAATTTTTTGTTTTGAAAATTTTATTTCTCTTGCTACAAAAAGCACACTGCGTTTTTTAAAATTTTAAAATGAATGAGATCAGAAACATTTAATATCTGTGTAAAAGAAGAATCTGTGCTACAATTGAACCCTACTGATAAATTTTGAGCCAAAAATCTTCGCTCTTTCAGACAGAAAAAACATCGTAAAAAGTGACGGCAGTGGCGATGGCTATGGCACGACAAATATTTGATACTTCTTTGTGAGAATTCATTTTATTAAAGAAAGTTAGTGCAAATTAAAAGAAACCGCATGAAAAACTTCGACAAACTGGATTTTGTTGAATCGTTTGTTAGTAACTAGCAGTGCCGAAAGGTATAGTGCGATCAAAAAGTTTATCTACCAAGCAAGCCTAGAAATTGAAAACGTGTGTCTGCGGAAGATAAAATGTCACAATGGTAAATAAGAAATGTCAAATATTTTTTTATAAACTGTAACAACAATTCGTGGTGAACGATTTGTATGAATAAACTCCAACTACATCTCATTTTAGGGTGTTTTAACTTTTAAGACGTTTCATACAGTAATTCAATTTGTTTAGATCAATATTTTAATTTTTAGAAAATAATTTTTTGACATCTAGCTGACATACAAACTTCCAAGCGACATACGTCCTGAACTAGTACGTCTACTTGATAGAAAGATTTTTTGATCGCACTGTATAAGCGAAGTAGGCCCCTGCCTACGGGCGCCGGCCCAAGGGGCGCCAAATCGACAAGATTTGCAATATTAAAATAACAAAATACGCGGGCGCAAAAAATACTCGGTGTAAAAAATGTATGTTTACAAAACTACCTATAGTTTTGATTTCCGGTTAGGCATTATTTTGTGCATCCGTATAGATATAGTTTTTGCCGAAGTGTTGTTTTTTAAAAACGGCGTGGTGCGCCTTTTGTAAAGTTATATCTTGTTTAAATTTAATGTGCGTGACTTTCTTGGTATATTTAATCAATTCCAGTTCCCATTATTCTTCAATAATTTTGCTGTTTAAGCTATACAACATTTGCCTTTCATTGATACGAGGTACGATCGTTCTCGGTTTTTTGAGTTGTAATGAGTTTGAGTTAGAAATGATCAACAAAAAGTGATTAAAAATCTCAAAAAGACCTAATAAAAAATCATCAGGGGCTTACTACAAAAAAATTAGAAAAACAGATAAATTAGAGCAAGCTAAATTTTGTTCAAGTCTGATGAAGTGATGAACCAAGTAAAAGATATTAGAAAGGCTACAGTGGTCAGTTTTATTTTTCTTTCTAAGTGAACGAATTAAGAACTGATGGTCATAAGGAAGTGTTTTACATAGTTTTACGACGAGTACGACCGCCTCTTTAGAGAAATCGATGAATCAATCGTCAAATTCAAAGTCAGATTCTGCAAAAGCTGATACGACAAAAATTGACAATTTGTTAAAAAAATCTATGAAGGAGACATCGAGAATTCGAATACCAGTACATAGCAGTTTTAGAAAACATTTATAAATATTCTTTAGAATCGGTTTTTTCAAATATAGGAACAGCCTAAAAAAAATATTACTTTACCAATAACAAGGTTGCGCTTCGCTTACCTTGGTCTGTGACGCTGTATTGGCCCTTCGGACCATTTTATATTGCGGCCCTCTGTGTCCCCGTTTTGTAATTATTGTTTGTTGCTTTTTAAATTGCTTAGCTCTTTACGGGAATTGATGTGAATCGATCATTAATTTGCATTTATTCGATGAAAACATTTTTTTTTTCTTTAATGGTCAATCTAATCTAATTTTTCAGTTGAGTGGGGCTCACGGGGGCTGCGTCTCCGATGGGGCTTTCGGGGGCTGCGCCCCCCAAGTGGGGCTCACCAGGGCTGCGCACCCGATAGGCGCGCCACGGCGCCCACTCTAACCTAACCGGTCACCCATGCGATGCCGTGTTGGTTAGAGGTGTGTAATATGCGGTCATAACCTCACTTTTTCCGAATTTTAGTGATAACAGGCGTTTCCGTCAGCCGATCGGCTCCAAAATCAATAGGTTCTTAAGGCCCGTCCGGAGCAAACTTGGCCTTCAGAATTTTACAACACTGGTTCAGCTGTCAAGCTGGGATCGGTAGCAGTCATAAACGACAATCTAGTGGAAGAACATAATTTACAACACCCAAATTGCCGCACGCTGGTTATCTGTATGATTTCGAAACTTTGCTGAAACGGTTTTGTTGTGGTGCTTTCAGGTATAAATTCGCCCAAATTTTTATTAGCATTSTTGTAATATTGCTACCCGATTTTAGATTGCGAATTATTTAATTTTGGATTACCTCTTGAAGTTATCGACTTGGATAACAACAATCTATATTTCGCTAGTTGTAAAAGTTCAAAAAAGCGCCGCAATCCACTTTTGTTTTTGATTTTGAAAATTTAAATTTTTTTAAAAGATTTTCTTGTCGGGCTCGCAAATATAATTTATACTTTTTAATGTTTTATTAGGATTCTTTTAATATTATCGTAGATAATTGCCAATTTAGTTTACTTATAAGGAGGTTATAGCATCTTGGTGATAAATAATAACAAATAAATAAAAATCAAAGGAAATAATTTTTTATTTAGTAAAAATTCTTATTAATTAATTCAATTGAATTTCCCTTAGTGGCATACTTCTGGACGCTCTTGGATCAATTATTTCCGGAAGTAGTGCCCTCATGTAAAATTTCTCCAACTTCAACTCTATTTTTTGAGAGTAGAAACAGACCAAAAATTATTGAAATGAATTATTTGAAATGAAATGAATAATTATTCTGTAGTCTGTATGTATGAGAATTATGAATTATAAATTATAAAACATTTATATAACTTGCAATTGTAGTGAAATTATAATTTTCATTTACGCGAAAGGTATTGATTGTAAAGCAATTTTAAAAATCTCTAAAATTTTCTTTTACAAATTCAAGACATCTGTGTCATCAGCTTGTCGGCGGGTGTGGTTGTAAATTTGGGTCTAATTGTTTGCGGTTAGTTTTTATGTGGGGGTTGTAAATAATCTTGTGCTCACTCGATTTTCGATTCCAAATCGTCCTACCTCTGTAGAGGTGTTATTTATAAATATTTTTTTACCGGACTTGAAATTATCACCTTAATATACAACAATCTACATTTTGACTGTTTTAAAAGTTCGGAAAAACGTCTTAAAATGTATTTTTTTTAAATGCGCACTTTTATTCAAACTTTCTCTACCTATATTTCAATTTGTACATAACCTATCGCAATTCTAAAACAGTCAAAATGTAGAAAAAAAAATTCTCTTTCACATGATACCAAATTCATAAAAATATCTTTAGTAGTTTTTGAAATACAGAGGTAGACATTTACATTGGAACTCCCATAAGAGATTTTGCTCCGGCCGCCTCTTAAGACGGCCGAGGGGCACCTACTGGCCAAATTTCATCGAAAAGAATGATTCTGTGAAGAGTTATCGCGGTTCGCAGAAATACCGGACAGACAGACAGACAAAAATTTCACTTTTTTTTCGACGTAGAATCGATTGGTACATGTTTCATCGATACGACTTCAAATGGCCGAGATATCGACGGTTTCTCGTTCGAAAAAGTAAAACCTATATGGAAAATTTTTGAAGAAAAAAATTTTCTTAACAACTACATCTTGCGAAAGGTCTTTTTGTAATTAAAACTGATTAAAAACTATTTAAGATCTTTATAGTGGCATAAGAATGAAAGAACGTCTAACACGTTTACCGCCTATCAGGTTTAATTAATAAGTATTGAAATAGATATTGCACACAATTTAAATTATGATGAAATAATAAATAAATTCGCCAGTGTGAACGCAAGAAAGAATTCTTTATAAATTTCAAAATTTGGTTTAATTTTAACAAATTCATACATTTTTATTTTAGTATTCTTTGTACAGGTATTCATAATTCATAATTTTTGATATTAATATTTCTAACAGAAATCATAATATAGCATTAAAAAAATTCTACTTAAGGGCGCAAAACTGAAACTCGCCTATAGTCACTTAGTTTCGGCACTGGTAACAAGGCATAGACAGCAATCTTTTTCAAAGCCATATTTTTATTATCCTAAATTATTTGTTTTGAAATAATTGTTTCAGTATAGCTACTAAAAAATCTTATTATAGGACAACGACCGGTAGACGCTTTATGGCCTCGTTAGTTTACGACTCTCGCCCTATCGGGCTCGACCTGTAAATTCACTCACTAGCTCGTGCATAAAAACGTTACTACCGGTCTAGTAACGTAAATAGATATAACCATAGCTCAGTGGTGAACATTTCTTGTTTTTATTGAACAAAAAGATTTGACGTTTATATTCAACACCGTGTATTTATTTTTCCTACCTTTTTTTTGTTTCTGTTTCGTTTTGTTTTTGTGAATTTAATTTGTCTACTTTTTTTTCTTTCTCTTTTGTAACCGCTTTCTGTAATAAAGCTTTATTATTTTCACCTTACGTTTAGTATTTTTAACTGGCGTTTAGTATTTTTACTTAGGAGATGTACTTTACATTTTTAACGTTTAGTTTGTTCCCATTAAAATTTTCAATAAAATATTAAATATGTGATTATCACGTTAGATTTTTTTAAATTAAATAACAAAAAGTTTTTACTTTCGTATTTATTTTACATAAAAATTAAAACTTAGACAAACAACTCATGTGCAAATTTATAAACTGTAAAAAGTATATTGTTCTATAACTGCCACTGGTTTTTGACCCAAACAGCTACAGGTACGTATGGTTAGAGCACTTACAAAATTTTCCTGCTAAATAAGTTGCCTATCCATTTGAAAATATACAAAATTGAACGGTTGAAACGCAACACCCAACACATTCTTATCTTATGGCACAGCTGATTACGGTTGCATATTTGAAAAAATAAGTTCCTCCTCTTTTGTGCAAAAGTTAGACCTAAAGAAGTATTTTGTTTCTGGTACTGGTTGTTCCTGTCTCGTGGATCAGGTATGTAATTTTATTCAACCACTTTTCATTACCAAATTACTATAAGATTCAACAAGCAAAAGTTAAATCGACAACTGGGAAGTACAATAATTATGGTGAACATAATGTAAACAATCAATTAATTGCTTTAATCCCTTGATGAAAACGCTTTGATATTGTATAAAAAATGTATTCAGATTTATTTATTCTAGCAACATTAATATTATTCTAGCAGCATTAACCTTTAAGGTTATGAATTGCCTAATCATAAACAACCACAATCTATTTCTATACTCCTAAAATGTAATGAATACCGAGGATTGTACTCTAATATAGTTTATGTAAACAAAAAATTATTAATCTTTAACTAATTTAATTAACCCTAATTTTGTTTAAATGCGGAATTCCCAACTTCCCTTATCTGTTCTACATATCTTATCTTACTTGTATCATACCTACAGTGGATTGTAAGTGTATATCTATAAACAATTTTAAAATACCGAATGTGCAAAAAGTAGAGTTCTGTAATGCAGTTTTGGAATTTATTAAATTGTTTAGAGTACGTAATACCTAATTTACCTACAATTAGCTTTTTTACAGGTTTTGTAGACCTACCTACCTGATTAAGAAGGAATGAACTAAATTATTATGTATTCGTTCAAGCATAATTTTAATTAAAATAAATTAATTCAGGGACAGTTGGAGACAAAATACTTTGGTCGTCACTTTTCTGACACTTTAATGTAATTCAAGCTTTAACGTTAAAATGAATGACAATTTCAAATTAATGAGAGCTATTATATTTTCCTATCAAAAATATGTACATACAACTTGACAGTAGCTAAAAATAAGGTTAACAGTCCTAAAGCATGCTTTATCATTTAGTGTCATTGTGACATTGACGACCAAAGTATTTTGTCTCCAACTGGACATTTTTTATTAGTATACATAGCCCTATGTATACAGTTAAAAAAAACGGGTCAATTTCATAAGGTAGGAGACTAGTATTTCAAGCTTTTAGAGGGTACTAGATATTAAAATATTCAAAACTAAAATTTTGTGTCAAGTTTGTCAACTGTCAGTCTTGAATCTTAAACCGGTGCTTTAAAAAGTTAATACCATTTGTGATACCGTGTACATCAAAGAAAAAAAACTGAAATGTTTGTGTGGTATCAAAGGGAAAATAGTTTAAGGAGGGTGAGGGCTAAGAACAGCCTGCATTGACACAAAATTTAATTTTTAAATATTTTAATATCAAGTACCCTCTAAAAGCTTGAAATGTTGGTCGCCTACCCTATGAAAGTGACCCGGTTTTTTTAACTGTAGGTATACATAGGGCCATGTATACTAATAAAAAAATGTCCCTGTATATTCATTCTTTATTTTTAATAATCAAATATCTATGAGTAAAACTTATAAGAATTGAATAATACCTAAATGAAGAAGAAAAAAAAAACAAGTGATATCATTTGATTTATTGGTAAATTTAATAAAACAAAAATATTACAATACGTGTAGGATGAATAAAGATTTTGTACTGGTTGCAACTGACGATAGTATACAGGGTGTTCCGTTTTTATTGTTACAAATTTAAACATGTAATAGAATATTAAGTTTTAAGACAAAAATTTTCTATGAATATGTATCAAAAAATGTTACGTAAGCGAGCTACACCCCTTGAAAGAGATGCGTTGTTTATGGAGTTTTAACACTATTGCAGAATAGATAAAATTACAAGAGTTGGTACAGTTGATTACTTTTAAACACCTGAACGAATTTAAAGATCAGTTTTCGATATTTTTAATCACGGGTCTCTTAAACGGTGAAACAAATTTAATTTTTAATTTTTATCTTCTTTATGGTCTGTAAGATTGGAAACTGATTTTACACAAAAACGGTAAGTTTTATAGAAAAAATGCAAGATACTTATTTTTGTAAAAAACTATGAAATTTAGAATTTTGTGGCTGAAAGTGGCAAGAACCAACAGCCAAATTAGCTAGGGTACTTTTTACTCTTTTTTTTTAATGTTCTTGATATCTTAATTAATTACAAAACACCCTGGATAGTGTTAATAAAAAAAATGTTTTTCACATAATCATGTTCTGCGTATTATTTTTTTTTCGGACATTTATTTCTGGACAAACATTTTTGCAAAACCGGACACTTAAATGTGGACGGAGGGAGTAGTATTTTATGGAGGAGTGTATGTTGATATACAGGGTGAATATAAAGTATGAAACCCAGCGTTTTTTTTTAAATCATTTGCCTCCAGAAAATAATAATTACCTAAAATAAAAAAAAAAATTGAAAAAATTAGATAGAAAGTAGATAGCTGTAATCCTTAGATCATAACCTTCATTATAGTGAATTGCCATTTAAAAAAATATAAAAAATTGTAGAACTCAAAAACAAAAGAAAATTTCAAAAATTTTTATTCTTGATAAAACATCACATTTCTATAGTACTCTATCATTTATCAATTAGTTTTTCCAAAAATAAATGGTTTAAGCAAAAAACGTTTGGTTCCATACTTTTTATTCACCTGGTATGTATTTTCATTACGCTTTTCAATATACAAATTATATTCTTTCAAGAATGAAGTTACTTCAGCAAAAATTTTTATTGCAGATTCAAGCTTGTGTCACCATGTTGATACCACAAGAAGCCCTTAATTCAGCAAAATGCAATCTTTGTAACAAATTCCTCTCGTATTTTCCAATTTATACATGTGAGAATAATCAGCCGATTTGTGGCCGTTGCTCTGCAATTTTGAACGATAGTAATTTTCAAAGAGCTACACTCTTTGAACAAATTGCACAGTATTTAAAATTTCCATGTATTTATCACACGGAAGGCTGTGTCGAAAACTTGTTCCCTGATGAGGTTCCCAATCACGAAGAGAACTGTCCTTACAAAATAATTGCATGTTCACAAGAATGCATGTGGCAAGGAAGCGTCAACGAACTTTTGGATCACTTTGAAGAAACTCATCCAAATGCAATTTTGAGAGATGGCGAGTTTGAAATAAGTTTTCTTAATTCGTACGATACGTACAGTCTGCTTATATACGAAGACGAGCTTTTCAGTCTTAAACGAAAGTTTGATATTAACGAAAATGTGCTGAAATGTTCAGTTTTTTGCTATAAAATGTTGGATCCGGTGACTAAATATAATTATAAAATCACCGTTTGGAATGGGACTAGGACTGAATCGGTAGAATTTGCTCCAAAATCAGCTGATACATTCTTAGAGGAAAATGTCACCGAAATTAGCGCTGAATGTATTAGGGATCGACTACAGGACCCATCCGTGATCATAGGAACTATTCAAATATTTGATGAGAAAAAAATATCGAACCCAAAGAAGAAACCAAATCCGGAAATAAATTTTGAAATGTTGAGCGAATTAGAGTGCCCAGTGTGTCTCCATTACATCATCCCTCCGATTTTCCAATGCGTCACCGGCCATAGTATCTGTGGCACTTGTAAAGAACAAATAACTCAATGTCCAATTTGCCGAGAGGATATCAAAAACACCCAAAACTTTACCCTCGAAAAAATGGCCTTTCTTATAACATACCCTTGCAAGAACTCTGACCACGGTTGTGATTTTGCCGATAAACCTGGAAAGATAAAACATCACCAAAAGTACTGTCTTTACGGACCGCAACATTGCCCTCTTAAAGAGTATGAAAATTGCAATTGGAAAGGCTCTGCTAAAGATATCTATCGCCATATTCAAGACGTCCATCATGATAACATTCTTGAAGTCGATACAGTGAGATTATTTCTTGATGGTAACTATTTCGAGGAAGAGGAAAACACATGCTACATAATGAAATATGGAGACGCTTTATTTAAATTGCACTATCGGTATTACAGGCAGCGTTTTTATTGGGCAATGCAACTGATCGGACCCCCGGAAGAAGCCAATAAATATAAATTCGAAATTGACATATGCGATAATAATAATAACAACCGCAAATTATTTTTGAGGAATTTTTGTTCAAATTTGAAGGAGAAGAATGATTGTTTTACTGATGCCGACCAGTATGTGTTTCTTGCACTTGACCAAATTAGATCGTTTTTGTCAGAGATGTTGACTTTCAGAGTCCGAATTGTCAAGTAGCTGCAGTAATTATTTCAATTTTTTATATTTAGAGTTAAAGGAATAAATTAGTTAGTTTATTTTGTTATTTTTATTACTGATCATGTATTTTATCAGTTATTTGTGCCAAGAGGAATAAACTTTAGATTACTAATTGTAGTTTTTATTTCTGCAAAATGTCTAGCGTGACGAGATTAAAGGTGGGTTTCCCCGTTGTCGGTTGCTCAACATGTTATGAATTTAGCCAGTAATTGAATTTAAAGCCGCGGCGTGAAGACTTGGTGATCTCAGATCAAAGGCGTATTGTAGCCCACCCTTTACAACAGCCCTTTGAGACGGTGGCTCTTTGCATCTATCTCGATGGCATGTGAAGAGTACGCTTATCGAATAAACCCTTCTTATCTATTAAGAAATATTGTGAGAATACGTGTCTTCAGTACATACACGCAACTGTTTACAGACTTATCTAATATTTTACAAAAGTTTTATACAAGATAAGAAACTCCTTACATAAATTTCGAGTACCCACAATTCATTTCTTTTTTTGATTATGCGAGTTTACAGTCGTTAGCATACGTTTTGTGAAAGCATCGCGGAAATGCAAATATCATTCCATCACTAAACGTTCCGATGAGAGGAGAGATGTTCCCTTTAAGACTAGCATGCAGATTTGCATATTCATGTAGATGTTTATTCATAGGAAAAATTCTCTTGTCTTTCCACCTTATGTGAGAGAAATGATTGACGCTAAGGACTTCCCTGTGTGATAATTTAAATAACACATTCCGTGCACGAATCGCTGCGAGACCCTTTTCACGGACAAATGAAAATGAATTTAGCGAAAGAAATCGCGAACTGGACAAAATAGCCGAATTAGCGATCTTTCACTGGATTATTACCAAAGTCACGTACTACACGCAGATGGCTTTAGAATCACAAATTAGCTTTTGCAGCAGCTTTGCTGAAATCCTGCAACTCGTCAACACAACGACGCCAAATTTCGGAGACTTTTTTTCGGACAAAAATTACACATCATTAGTAACACCAAAAATTAAATTTAAAATAAGAGTTGGCCATGTTTACGCAAACAGAATGAAACATAAATTACAGACTATATGCGACTAGATTTACGTTGGGTTTTTCGTATAAATCTATTTTGTGGCGATTAAATGACACCACACTCATCCAATTCGCACCTTTTCCTGCTAGAAACAAGCACGCGGTCGAAATCAAGGCGTCAGCAATATTTCAGTGGTTTTGAGGTTTGCAGTTCCACAATTACATCCGCACAACATCTAAGCAGACTATTAATCAGCAGCACTGCCGACTGAACATGATTTCTTCGGTCAGAAATTTCACAACACGTGTGAATTCCCTCGAAGTGTTTCGCTGAAAACTTGTGAGAGTCGCTGAATAATTCACGGCTAAATTAGAGAAATGTGCGTGTTGCGCGTTTATCGCGAGACTCAAGCTTTGATAAATAATAGATTAGTCTTGTAAATCACACAAGTTTGCTAGTTTCGTAAGTGCACTTTGTTACCTAAACTGTTTCTGCGGTGCCCACCTTCGAGTTGTTTCAGGATTACGCGCTCCTGAAATAACAGCATCGTTTGCGGAGAATGCAAATAAAGAGGAAGGCATATTTGCTTCAAATTAAACATTCAGAGGATCCGCAGACTGCTTTCAAGCTTTAGACGAAGTAGGTGTCAAGAAATCCGAATCGTCACATTCTGAGTTGTGAGAGCTAAAAATATGTACTAAAAACGTAAAACAGAATGACTTTTTGTAACCTATAGTATTTTATTTTGAAAATGATCAAAATAAAAATTACAAAATCAACTGTTGTTTCAACCTTTTTTTTTTCATCAAAAATCAGCTTTGTCTTAAAAAATTCCTGAATTGATGCAAAAAAAATTCGTAACAATGTTTGAATCTAGTTTTTCGGTTTTTGTGTCATTTCATTTATTGTTTTATTTGATTTAAGTTTTATTTATTTTTTTATTTTGTACTTAATGTTAAAGAGTGTTCTTATCAACTAATTTCAGTAGATAAAGTAGTCTTTTATCGTCTAGTGAAATAAAGTAATTTTTATCTACTGCTTATACAGTAATATAATATTTATATTTCAAGAAATTCTGGTAGGTGAGTACAAAATAAAACGAAATATTATACACGACGACAAAGATTGTTTTATCTACTCGTGAAACAAGTCCACTCGTGACTTCGTCACTCGGAAACTTAATCTTTTCACTCGTAGATAGACTATTTCTTTATCGTCTTCTATAATAAATAACTATTTAAGAGCTAAATTTTAGAATTTGCGTTTAAGCATATTTTTGAATAAGTGGAAAATAAATAAATGAATAAGTAGTTATTTATTAATTATTATACAATACTATAAACAATCTTTGTCGTCGTGTATAATGTTTCCACGTGTTTTTATTTAATGAAACATCGGTCTTGTTTTAACAAAAAATTGTTAAATTAATGCAAAAAAATCCTAAGAACAAGTTTTTAAAATAAGATTTCTTATTTCGTTCCTGAATCTACTTCATTTTTTTTTGTGTTGCTTGTACAATTTTTCTTCTTATATTTGATTCTCACTGCATTCTGCGTCAAGTATTTACATAAAAGAATCTCTTGTAATTTTAAAAATCAAAATAAGGTAAATCTGATTTGTCTCACAAGTCGTATTCTTGACATTTTTTTACTCGAGAAAAGTTTATTTTAAAATATCATTAAAACTTAAAAAAAAAATTATAACTATTAAGACAACTAGAGTTTTATAGACAGTTTAAAAATCGAGGTCGTAGTTTTAATAGGCTGAGATTTTTAAACTATAAAACTCGTGTTGTCTTCAAGATTTTTTGCAACACTAATACTGAATCAGAAATTTTACTAAATTCGGAAATTATTATACAGAAGTATGTCAAAATCGACAAAAAATATGCATCAGCATATTTTATAGACTCATAAGATACGTTGTTATTGACGACGTACTTTATAGATGAAGCGTATTCAGAAACATAACAAACAACCTTAAATGCATCATAGAAACAGTATAAGGTATTAGTGTTACAAAAAAATATTTATTTATTAAAAAATGAATTATGAATTATGAAAAGTGATTCTTGGCGAGTGTTATTGAAATGGCCGATCGTGAACTCAATAAGATAGTAATAAGATGTCGTAGACGCAACATTAATTATGAACAAAGTCGAAAGTTGTCGGTTGATATCGTCTCAGGAAATATTAATGCCGTCTCGTTGTAAAACTGTGCTAGAATGGTTTTGTAAATCAATAAAGACATTAAAAGTTTACAATGCAACGGGAAATAAGACGCGTTTCCTCCGTTGTATTCATGCATGAATCCTTGACAAGTTTCGCGTCGAGCCATGTTGCCTCCGAACGTATCAGTTAATTTAGTAGCGTGCGGCTGCAAAATACAGAATAGTAATTAGTAATCCATTTTATAGAGTCGGAACAATAGGACTTGAATGAGATTAGCAGCGTCTTATTAACTATAAAACACAAGTTAGATTCGTGCGTGATTTCCAATTTCCATACTATTAGGAAACTTGATGGCTTTCAGACCTAATCCTCGTGGGGTGCGATGTGAATACCTTATAATGGAGTTTCCTTGCTGATTTTTCTAACTGTTCGAATTGATTTTATAGACTCGAAACCAACACTCGCAAACAAAGAGAAAATGATGAATGAGCTTTTTTCATTACCTCATACCAAGTTAAGAAAATTTAAACTATTATTGCAAAACTGAGACTCGCTGTCTGCTGTCTCAGAATTAACAGGAAGTTCGAGCATAAATGTAAAGATATGCAAGTTTGCAACAAGTATCATTTTCGTTGTATTGTTTTGCGCTAGGTCTCCCCAACTTCCTGTTGTCATCATTATCAGGAGACATCTCACAATGAATAGATGGAATATCTCTTATAATTTGAGATTTTATTGGTCGTTTTCGGTAAAAGAGTATAAACTTTACTCCTTACTAAAAATTGTCAAAAAACATGCTTTGATGCTTCTTTATGTCCCTAGAGAAGAGCTCTCCGTATCTGAGCAGAGAAGCACCTCAATCACGTCTGTAATTTGGTCAATTTTCTTTCCATATGAGAAAATATAAACTGCCATCTGATTCGATTTACTATCAGATGCAGAACGCATCTCAACGGGCAGACTTCAAAGCGAACCTCCTGATCTCTTATTATGTTACATTCGGTTCGACGAGCCTTGAAAAATACTCAAATAAGATGGTTGGTCGAAAACCAATATTCTCTTTTATTAGGTTAAGTTTATTTGCTTGCGGATGTGGTTTACATATTTACTTGGGAACAAAAACAAATCAACAATGAAAAATTCAAGCTAAATTAAAAACGATTTCCTCATGTCAAATACATATTGCTCTTTGCTTCTTTGTGCGCCCTAAGATTTTTTAGATAATGTAAAATTTTTAAGTGAACTAGGAATTTAAAAAAACTGAAGCAAAACTACTCTTCTGTACTTTCTTCTTGTACCATAGAACGTTTCTTGAATTCAAGTTTAAGTTTTTGTCCACGTAAATAATTCTAATAATTTTATCATTATAGGAAAAAAAGTTTAGAAACCAATTTTTCTCACTTTCATCGATGCAAAAGCAATCACAAGTTCCTTATAGATCGTGTTCAATCGATTTTTTTTCCAGTTTGACTAAACGCGATGCACCATTGTTGATCTTGCGTACCAGCAGAGATGAACAAAAATTATGGGATCATTTTTTGGTAAAAACTAAAAATTCATTTTTCTCTTGATTTTGGACTTAGTAGGTATAATTTTTCCCTGCTTTTTAAGTCCTATCACATTGGCAGTTTTATTATTTTGACAATGATGTCACTTTGACAAATGAGTTTACGTAAGTTGAATAACAAAAATGTTTGTGAAAAACATAATTTTATAAATAGCAACTCTAAGAAACAGCTTTAAGATAAAAACCAAAGTCGATTTTAACAAGAAATATCATTATTTAATTAATAAATTAATTGTTAAAGTGACATGAAATTGTCAAATAGATAAAACCGCCAATGTGATAAGACTTAAAAAGCAGAGAAAAATTATTGTAAGTCCAAAATCAAGAGAAAAATTAACTTTTCTTTTCACTGAATC